AGGCTAAAGCATACAATGAACGGTTGCAGGAACTGGGCCTGGCTAGTCTAGGGAAGAGAAAGACCAGGGGAGACAGGATAGCAGTCTTCCAGTATTTGAGGGGCTGCCACAGAGAGGAGGGGGTCAAGCTATTTTCCAAAGCACCCGAATGTCAGACAAGGAACAATGGATGGAAATTGAACAAGGAGAAATTCAACCTGAAAATAAGGAGAAATTTTCTGACAGTGAGAACAATCAACCAATGGAACAGAAGTTGTCTTCAGAAGTTGTGGCAATTTCATCCCTGGAAGATTTCAAGAAGAGACTGGACTGCCACCGGTCAGAAATCTGATTGGTCTCCTGCTTGGGGGGAGGTTGAACTAGATGACCTACAAGGTCCCTTCCAACTCTATTAATCTGTGATGTTTGGTGCTTTGGAAAACAGTTTCACCCCCTGGTCTTTGTAGGAGCCCCTCAAATATTGGAACACTGCTATTATGTCTCCCCTAGTTCTTCTTTTCACTAGAGAAATCCAATTCCTGCAACGGTTTTTTATATGTTTAAGCCTCCAGCCGCCTAATCATCTTTGTGGTTCTTCTCTGCACTCTTTCCAGTGTGCAGAGAAGATTGTGATTGCCTGTGATTTTGATTCCCTGTGGTCCAAAAGCTTAAAGACCCATCATGCTGTATTGGTGACAGTGCTGGACCAAGAATGGTGAGATCCAAGTTGCAGCCCTCCCCTCACTCTCCTTCAACCATAGACATTTTACTGGGTGTATTTGGACCGATACTCGTTCCTGGGTCAACCTACCTTCCAAAATTGTTCTGGGAAAAAAGTTTGGGTTTCTGTAGACTGCATAACTGGAGGTCCCTTTCTAAAGATTTCCCTGCAGCCCAGATTGTCTTCAACTGCTATCAACTGTTGCTGAACACCTTAATATTAAGAATGGAAGAACTGGGTTCTGTGGGACAGATGGGATGAAAAAAATATGAAAGTTGATGAGGTTTAAAGATAAAATGTTTTTTTTTTAACTTTGGACACAGTCATATTTTTATCTTGGGCACAACCATTTTCCAGTCTTCTTTTGCCCCTAGTACTTTTCCAAAGTTCTTTTTGGTGGTACCTGAGGAAAGAAAAGTTGGAATCATAGAATGATAGGGCTAGAAGGAATCTCCTAGTGCACAAACTCCTGCTCAAACAGGAGACCCCATACCACCCTGACAGATGCCTCTCCAAACTTTTCTTGAAAACTTCCAGTGATGGAGGATCCAAAACCTTTGGAGGCAAAATGTTCCACTGATTAATTGTTTCACTGTCAGGAATGGTCTCCTGAATTCTAGGTTGGCTTTCTCTTGGCTAATCTTCCATTTGTTACTTCTTCTTCTCCTACCTTGGTGTTCTGACCTAGGCTTCCCAAAGGCATGAAGCCAACTCCTTGTCCCTACAAAAACTACTATTATTATGCCTTCCCCTGGCAGCTCTGCACATGCGCACATCAGGAATAAGCCCCAGCTGTTCTTCTGCCCCATTGATCTCCGACTCTGAAGGCAGCTGATAACTGGCATACGGCTCTGGCTCCCTCTCTGCCTCCGACACAGAGNCAAGGCGGTGGCATGTGCATGCATGCACAGTGCATGTGCCCGACTACGACGCCTGGCCCCATGCACAGCGTACCGGTTGCGGTGGGATCCGGAACCCACCACTGATGTGAATGTATACTTGTAAGCAAATTGAATAGATTTGTGAATGGGATTTATGAATGGGATTTCCTCTCTATTTGTAATTCCTGGATCTTTCTGTCTTTGTTATTTTCTACACTGTCTTCAAGGTGTAGAAATGTTCTGTAGTCAGACTATAGAGGTATCAGTAAAGTCAACAATGTGTTTTTGTTGCTGTTACTGCTCTAGCAGTCGTGGTGATCGTTGTTTTAACCTTTTTAAAACAGTCCATGTAGGGTGTGAGTTTTAAACTGGAGGCAGGGGAGGGGTCGTGCCCTGTATGTTCAGCTGGTAAGTGGTTTCAGGGTTAAAATTTGGCTTTATTTCTGGAAGGGGGGAAAGCTCTAACATGTTTTGGAGTGGATGAAGCCATACCTCCCCCAAATGTTCCCCTTCAACACAACTTTGGACAGCCATTAGGGTCCATGAGAAAATTTTGGTGGTCCACAGAAAAATTATTTGTATTTTTATTTATTTTGCACTAAATCAGGGGTCCTCAAACTACGGCCCCTGCAAGGGATATGTGCAATGAATACTTGTGTTGCTGCAGAGAGTCTCCCCTTTCGGGGTCTTTTTATGGGGGTCGGAGGGGGCAGAAATTCCGACTTGGGGTCTGCTTCAGCCTCCTGGTGTGGGGCTTTGGGCGAAGGCTGGAGGGAAGCACCGCTGGTGGCAAAGAGCCAGAGGGCCTCATTCCAGTGGGACTGCATCATGGCCTGGAACTGGCTGACCATCTCAGCCTCTGAGCCTCCAGGCACCGGTACCTGGCCTTGCACTCCAGCAGGTGTTCCCTCTGCTTGGAAAGCCTATGCTGGTAGTCCTCAGTGAGGTGCTTCTGCTGAGCCTCCTTCTCGATCAGATCCAATTTAAACTGAGCCAGCTGTTTTGCCAATTCTTTCTCCTGGTGGCTGCTTAGCGCCAACAACTGCTTCCTGTTGGGGCCCTAAGGAGCCCGGGTGGGCGAGGAGTGGTTGGGAGAGAAGGAGCGAGTAGAGGCTGGTGCGGTGCCCCTCGATGTGAGTGACATTGAGTTGGCCATGCCCACCCAGTCACATGCCCACATAGCCACATCCGCCCATCCAGTCATTAGGCAGATCATATTAGTGGACCGCAGGATTTAAAATTATGAATTTAGTGGTCCCTGAGATCTGAAATGTTGGTGATCCCTGGATTAGAAGACCTCCACGATCCCTTTCAGCCCTATTATTTTATGATTCTGTATCTATCTGGAAAAGACAGGGATGAGCAGAAGACCACGATCAACTCAGTCCTACCGACTAGGCTTCCTCACTGATTTCATCCAAAGGTGTGGGTGTCAGCCTTTCGACTTTTATTCAAATGATGTCAAGAAGGCCACTTTCCATTCCCATGGCCAGGATGAGCTGGTTTGCTGACAGTTAAGGACACCATGACCAAGGCTACCAAACTCTGACATGGTTTGAGGAACAGACAGTCACAGGTCCACTGGAATGGCAATTATTATGATTATTATTTTAGAACGCACTGTCTGGATTGATGACACTGTAACCCTTCCCCCTCCCCCCTTCCCCTCCCTGCTCTCCTCTCCCTCCCCTCCCCAGTCTCTCCTGAAGGCGGTGGAAAGCAATAAGAAGTCTATGGAAGACGAGCATCACAAATTGAACCAGGTCAGTGATGGGGGACTGGTTGCACACCTCTGCTTCATTGACCTGAAGATGTGCAGAATTAAGGCTTACGGTGGTGACAACAGCTCCCAAGGCTCGAACTCTTACATACAGGCAGTCCTTGACTTACAAACCATTCATTTAGTGACCGTTGGAAGTCACAATGGAACCAAAGAAAGGGATTTAGGGCCAGCTTTTAAACTTAAAAAACATTGCAGCCTCCTTTCGCCACCTGATCAAAATTCAAGAACTTGGCAACTGGCATGTACTCATGATGGTTGTGCTGTCAAGAAGTCATGTGATCACCCTCTGTAACCTTACCAAATGGATTCCAACAAGCAAAGTCAACATGGGTGAGTCAGATTCACTTAAACTGTTGTAGAAAAGACGGGACACGCAAGCCAGCTCTTCAGAGAAGGAAATGTTTATTGCGCAGGTTCAGAATGAATGGCCTGAACAATGAGTGAAAGTCAGGAAATTCCTTATATAGTTTATCGCTTTCAGCTAAAGCCATCTGTTAGTTTTNCATCAGGAATAAGCCCCAGCTGTTCTTCTGCCCCATTGATCTCCGACTCTGAAGGCAGCTGATAACTGGCATACGGCTCTGGCTCCCTCTCTGCCTCCGACACAGAGCCCTCATCAGAGCCTTCCCCAGACTCCAGGACTGGCCCAGGTTCCTCCCCAACCTCCTCACTGTCTGAATCTGCTCCCAGCTCTGGAGCGCCACAACACCTGGGTGCTTTAAACAATAGGTTGACCCCCTCTTTTCTGTCATGGCCCCTCAAGTACTGAAAGACTGCTATCATGTCACCGCTAGTCCTTCTGTTCATTAGGCTTGATGTATCTAGTTGGCTGGTTCTGTCCATTCTTTCTCTTCCTTACAGCTCCTGCTTCTCCTTCAAGCCAAGAATCCTCATCAACTCCCAAGCCTAAAGTACCCCTGGACCCTCACGTTCGTCTCAAGGATGGCAAACTTGAATTGGTGAGTCCAACCCAACAGGCGATTACAGACAAATTAAAGGATTGGATGTAGGATGGGTGTAGGCTCCTTCGGTGCCAGTTAACTGACTTCATTGAATTCAAGGGGTGGGTTTTTCATATCTTGGGAGGCCATGCTAACTTGGGTTAGGTCATCCCTTGTCATTTTCTAAGCATATTTTGTGCACCTATGCTATTTCTTCAGATTATATTTTAATGGATTGATTTCATGGCTTGGAATGAAGATCATATACTGATTCCAAGCCATGATCCATACTTGGAGACCTCCTGTGATGACCCGGGGCAATGCCCAGAGGCAACACAGACGGCTGATAGTTCAAATCGCCCCTTTATTGCTCCAACTTTCTTCCAAACGCTGCCACGTTATGGCAAGTCCCAGAGCAAAGTGATCACACACACACACACACACACACACACACAAACACACAGACACACACACACACACACACACCTCCAGCAGCCTCTGGTTGCAAGTAGTCCAACAAAACGCTATTAGCACAATGGCTTCAAAGCAAGAAATCCAGTGGAGCAAAGGAATAAGTCAATGAGTCCAGGAAGCAAAGGAACAAGGCAATTAATCCAGGAAGCAAGGAATAAAGCAAGAAATCCAGGAAACTCCAAATGTCTGCAGCAGCACCCAAAACTCCATGAATTCAGTGTTTGTTCCTGACAAACGCCCCTCCCCACAGCCTCTCCTTAAATCTCACTCCCCAGGTGTGCCTTGTGAAGAGGGACAGGGCGCTCTCCTCCCAAGTCGTTGGCTCGGCCTGCACTGTTCCTGCCTTCTCTCCACTCTTCACGCTCGAGGATCAGGAGAAGGCAGTTCTTTCTCATCGCCTGAGCTTTGTCACTCCTCATTCCCACTGCCTACCCTCTTGGTTGTTCTGGTCCCTGCTAGCAAGCCACCCAACTCTTGAGGATCCTTGGCCTGCCTCCACCCCACATTCCTCCAAAGCCAATGACGCTGCCCCCCAAGTCTGGCTCAGCTCCAGCTCTGGCTTGTCTTCCTCCTCAAGGGGCCATGACACCTCCACCCATGACTTTTTTTTCCAAAAGGCCCTGCAATGCGGTCTGGTCCACTTTTCAGGAAGTCTTCCATTTCTGATCAAGCTTGATATAGGGCTGATTTCCCAAGAAGGTTCCCATCCTAAAGATGACTTTGGATATAGGAGAAGAGCTTTGCTTAACCTGAGTGGCCTCCACTGGTGTAGATTTCAACTCTTCAATTGCTCAGAATGCATGGCCGTAGCTCAAAATCCTGGGATCTGTAAGGCTTTCTAAAATGTGGATGGAAATACCAGGAAAGTGAGACCACATTTCTAAGATTTTTTAAAAAAATAATTTTTATTGAACTTATTTAAACGTTCAAAAACAAAACACAAATTTCCACTCATTACAGCGATTCCATATCAGTATCCTTAATGTCATTCATATTTACATAAGCTCTATTTCTATAATATACTCTATTTTATGTAGTCACTTAGAATATAGTCATGTTTACAGATATATACAGTGTTATCATATTTGTTGTAGATAATATTTAATTCTTATACAGTAACTTGCGACTATCATCCAATTATTTATACCATCCACTGCACACTTTATAATACTCCGATTCTTCTCTATCCTTCAGTTCCATGGTCAACCTATCCATCTCTGCACACTCAAATACCTTTCTTTCTTTTTTCTTTTTTTTCTTTTTTTAAATTCTCTTACATATCATTTTAAGTATACATTCACGTAATTGTTATTCTTCTTTACATTTGTCATTCTTATACATTTGTTATTTCATTTAATAGGCTATAATATACAGTTTGGATTGCTTTATTTACATCCCTTCTGCCTGTTGTAACACCACCTTATTGTCCCTTTCTTTTCTCCCTTCCTCCCTTCTCTACTTTCTTCCTTCCTCCTCTCCTTCCCCTTCCTTCTTCCCTTACCTCTCCCATACTCCTACTCTTCCTCTTCCCCTTCCCCTTCCTACCCTCTCTCCTTCTCTTTCTCTCCCTTCCAACCTCCTCTCTTTATCTCTTTCTTCTTTCCCTCTTCTTCCTCTCATTCTCTCCTCCTCTCTCCCTTTTTTTTTCTGTTGTTGTAGGTGTCTCTTTCAAATCTCAGTTTATGTTTTCTTGAGATGGTTCAAATACCTCTCTTATTATCATTGCATCTGAAGGGATATTACTCTGTTTCCAATTCTGAGCGAATACTCTTCTTGCTGCAGTTAATATATGCAATATTATGGATTGAATTTTCATTGGTATCGCTTTTCTCACTGTCTGTTTTTTGGACTTCCAGATGTTACAGTACTTAAACCTCGATATGAGCGAAGAGAAGAAAAGACAGCTACGGCAGAGACTGACAACTGACTCCCAAGGCACAGTAGCCTATGGAGGTAAGAAAAAAAAACGTAGAGTTACTTTAAGCTTTCAAGATTCTCTTAATGTAATCCTAGAGATGAGATAGAGCTAGTATTCCTGGTTATGCTTCATGTCTCGACTGCCTAAAAGGGGTAACCTCAATCTTGCAGGTCTAAGACTAGTCCTTTCTAGAGAGGGCCCCCTCTGAGATGCTTCCTCCACCCTCATCCCTCCTGCAGACTCAGATTTCATTTGTTGGACTGTTGTCTAGGCCAGGGGTCAGCAATCCGTGGCTCTGGAGCCACATGTGGCTCTCTCTCATCCCTCTGCTACAGCTCCCTATCGCCGGTCGGCTCCACAATTGATTGGGCTTTTGGTTAGGACAGGTAGAGGAAAAAGGAGGCCGCACTAGGAGAAGACTCTATGGTGGGGGAACTGGACTTCCAGTGGGCTCCAAAATTGAACCAGGGCCTTCCGTTTAGGACCTTTGTGGCTCTTTGAGGGTTTAAGGTTGCCGACCCCTGGTCTAGGCCACAAGTCTTAAAGTCGCCCTGCTCTAGACCTTCAGCTCTTTCTTCGGGTTTTATTTGTGAATTTATTTTTACCTTTCTTGCGGCCTTCCTTAAATGAACCCCACCAATCTAATGGGCTTTGACTATCTTAATCTCCAGTTAGTATAAGCAACAGCTGTTCCATATGGTTGGGGTACAGCTCAGAGAGTGGGAAAGCTGGATGCTATGTTGACAGAGGCTACTTGGTGGTGGAAAACAAGTTTCAGGAGAGATGCCTTTAATTAGAAGATGGGACATAATTTTTGGAGAGTTCTTCCTGATTTTCTGTGTGAGCGTTAGGAAGCAAAAGAAGAGTTGGTCCCAAGATTGTTTCTGTCAACAATGACCGATAAGTTGAGCAAGGCCTCCCTCTAATGGCTACTTGGGGAGGTAATTCTCCTGAATTAAAGAGGTAGTTTTTAAGAAGATGTTGGATAACCATTTGTCTGAAGTGGTGCAGGGTATCCTATCTAAGCAGGGGGTTGGACTAGAAGACCTCCAAGGTCCCTTCCAACTCTGTTATTCTATTCTATTCTATTCCATTCCATTCCATTCTGTATTCTTTATTCTACTCCACTCCACTCCATTCTATTCTACTCTATTCTGTATTCCATATTCTACTCTATTCTGTATTGTCAGTTCTATTCTATTCTATTCTATTCTTCTATTCTCCATTCTCTATTCTGTTCTATTCTATTCTATTCTGTTCTTCTATTCTGTTCTGTTCTATTCTACTCTACTCTTCATTCTATTCTATTCTATTCCGTATTCTACTCTACTCTACTCTTATTTCTATTCTATTCTATTCTACTCTACTCTTATTTCTATTTTATTCTATTCTGTTCTGTTCCGTATTCCGTATTCCGTATTCCCTATTCCGTATTCCCTATCCCCTATTCCGTACTCTACTCTATTCTACTCTACTCTACTCTACTCTACCCTACCCTACCCTACCCTACCCTACCCTACCCTACCCTATCCTATTCCATTTGTTAGCATTTCTATGAGAGGAGATGATGCTTTCCAAACTTTCTGCTAAATTAAGACCATGTCACCAGCCTTTCTGGGTTTGCCTGAGTCCCTCCTTTCTCTTTGAACCCAGATTTCCTCCACGTTCTCAAGGATTTGCTTCCAGAAGAAGACACAGATCTCCATTCAAATTCTGCACTTTTCAGTCCTCTTGAAGTGGCTACTTTGCTGGACATGTCCGCTTTCCATTCTCCGGTCAGTGTTGAACTACCCAAAGTTTTATTGCCCTCTTCTGATGTGTTTACTTGGATTGTTGGTTATTACCTTTGAAGCCTTGCATGGCATATGTCCAGGTTACTTCTTGAATCGGCTCACCCCAGAAGGAGCAATCCAAATGGACCATCCCTTAAACATGAGCCAGCAGCCAAATCAGCGAATACAATCCTTGGTTGTATAAACAAAGATGTAGACTCAACATCACATGAAGAATTAGTACCGCTTTATAAAGCCTTATTAAGGCCACCACCTGGAATACTGCATCCAGTTTTGGTCATCACATTACAGAAAAAAGATGTTGAGACTTTGGAAAAAGTTGCAGAGAAGAGCAACTAGGATGATTAAGGGCCTGGAGACAAAAACATATGAAAAACGGCTGCAGGATTTGGGTATGGCTAGTCTAGAGAAAAAATAGAATAAAATAGAGCTGGAAGGGACCTTGGAGATCTTCTAGTCCAACCCGCTCCTCAAGCAGGAGACCCTGTAGTATTTCAGATAAGTGGCTGTCTAGTTTCTTCTTACAAGCCTCCAGTGATGGAGCAACCATGGCTTCTGAAGGCAAAGCTGTTCCACTGGTTAATTCACTGTTAGGAAGTTTCACCTTAATTCCAGGCCGCTTCTCTTTTTGATTAGTTTCCAACCATTGTTTCTTGTCCTGCCTTTTGGTTCTTTGGAGAATAATTTGACCCCCAAATCTTCTTTGTGGCAGCCCCTCAAATACTGGAATACTGCTATCATGTTGCCCCTCATTATTCTTTTCTTTAGATTAGCCAAACCGAAATCCTACAGCCATTCTTCATATGTTTTAGTCAGGACTAATGGAGGGGACTAAGGAGGACCTGATAGCAGTATTCTAGTATTTGTGGAGGTGTCACATAGAAGGGGGGGGGGGGGTTTCAATTTATTTTTCAAGACAAGGCAAGAAACAGTGGGTGGAACCTAAGCAAGGAAAGAAGCCACCTTGAATTAAAGAAAAAACTTCCTAACAGTGAGGGCAATTAACCAGTGGAACAACTTGCCTCCAGAAGTCGTGGGTGCTTCATCACTGGAGGTTTTTAAGAGGAGACTGGACAGCAACCTGTCTGAAATGGTATAGGTTCTCCTGATTGAGTAGGGGGTTGGACTAGAAGACCTCCAAGGTCCCTTTCAGCTCTATTCTGATTGATCGATTGGGACTGGCCCACTCTACCAACACTGGCAGAGGGATATATTGTGGATCCCATCAGTCAAGGAATTCCGGCTAGCGGGATCCAAGAGAAAGTCCTTCTCTGCTGCGGCTCCTGCTCTTTGGAACGTTTTACCCCCTGTGGTGAGATCATATCCCACAGTTCTGATCTTCTGGTTCTGCCAAATGGCTTGGAGCCCCAATGGCGGGAAAAAAATCATAAATTGTAGTCACATGATTGCAGGATGCTGAAAATGAATGTGAATGTGGGTCTGTTACTGAACACTCAAAATGCAATCATGTGATCGTGGAGTTTTGAATTTTGAATCTAATCCTAAGTACTTTTGGGGGGGGATTTCCTAATTTTAGGGGACTTGGTGGCTCAGTGGCTAAGACGCTGAGCTTGTCGATCAGAAAGGTTGGCAGTTCGGTGGTTCAAATCCCTAGCACTGTGTAACAGAGTGAGCTCCCATGACTTGTCCCAGCTTCTGTCAACCTAGCAGTTCGAAAGCACGTAAAAAATGCAAGTAGAAAAATAGGAACCACCTTTGGTGGGAAGGCAACAGCGTTCCCTGCGTCTTCGGCATTTAGTCATGCCGTCCACATGACCACGGAGACGTCTTCGGACAACACTAGCTCTTCGGCTTTGAAACAGAGATGAGCACCACCCCCTAGAGTTGGGAACGACTGGCACATATGTGCAAGGGGAACCTTTACCTTTACTTTATCATAACTTTGAACAGTTGCTAAGTGACTGGTTGTAAATCAAGAACTACTGTGTACTTGGGGATAATTTATATCATTTAGCTAGAGCTAGCGAGGCTGAAGTTAGCTGTACACAAAACCACTTTGAAAATAGAGAATTCATATCAGCAGATCCCAAAGGTGCTTTTTCTAAAGGCAACTGGACATTGTGTTTCCTTGAAGACATTTCGTGCCTCATCCAAGAAGCTTCTTCGGTTCTGACTGAATGGTGGAAGAACTAAAGAAGCTTCTTGGATGAGAAGTAAAATGTTGAAAAAAACAACAACAGAAGGAAGTCCAGTTGCCTTTTGAAAAAAGACCTTTGGGGCAACCATGACCTTGATAACTGAGAATCTTCACTGACATATCAGCAGATCTTTCTCTCTCTTTCCCTCTCTCTCTCAATCCCATAATTTCAGGATCCCTCCTGGGTTGCAAAATCCTCTAGCTGGCTTAGTGCTTCATCACGTGATCGTGATTTATTTTTGCACAGCTACTCTGCTTGATCAATGCTCTGAGCACACCAAAATAGATTTAGGAATCTCGCAGGTAGGTTTGGATTACTCATCTGCTTTCTTGACTGGATCAACTTCTCTTTGCAGACGTCTGACTCTCTCAGTTCCAATGAGAATGAGAAGCTGGATAACCTACATCTGGAAATGGTGGTGTTACAGGAGGAAGTCCAGAGGCTGAAGGTAAGGCTGCCAATCAGAAGGCTTAATTTTGATGTAAGTTGATGATGGCCATTGGCATAATAGCAATAGCAACAGCACTTAGACTTATATACCACTTTAAAATGCTTTACAGCTTTCTCTAAGCAGTTTACAGAGTCAGCCGCTTGTCCCCAACAATCTGGGTCCTCATTTTACCCACCTCGAAGGATGGAAGGCTGAGTCAACCTTGAGCCTGGTGAGATTTGAACTGCTGACAGAGTTAGCCTGCAATACTGCATTCTAACCTCTTTGCACCATGGAAGGAAGGAAGGAAGGAAGGAAGGAAGGAAGGAAGGAAGGAAGGAAGGAAGGAAAGAAAGAAAGAAAGAAAGAAAGAAAGAAAGNATGGCCAGATGCCCTTCCTGTCGCTAATGTGGAGTTTTGTTCACAGATACATATATTCTCAGTATGCCCAGAGAGAGAGAAATATCTGCCTCTACTTAGTATCAAACTCATAGCCTTCTGATTGTCAGGTGAGAGCGCCACCTTTAGGCCACCACACCACTCCTTGTGTGTCACCCTCATGCTGTTACTAACATTTTGGTTCTGGAGCAAAACTGATTTTGTAAACATTCAGGTGAGCAAACCTGTGTCAAGTCTAAAACTAATCATCTTCTCTTCCAACCTTGTCCTTCTCTCTTTTCTCTCTTTTTCTATTTCCCCCCCAAATCAGAGTGATGCCTTAGAACTGAAGAAGCACTTGTCCTCGGTGAACGAACAGCTGCAGAAGTCTGAGGTTGCGCAGAAACATCTGGAACTTTACAACCGGAAACTGCTCTTGTTTGTTCAGGTGACCTGTTCAGATTCAATCCGGGTCTAGATGAGTCTGTGGGAGTCTGTGGCTCCTTTACCACCTGTGGACTTCAACTTCCAGAATTCCTGAGCCAGGCCCGCTCTTGGGAATGGCTCGGGAACTCTGGGTGTTGAATCCACAGATTGTAAATGTCTATGGGGATTCTCAGTCATCCAGGTCATGGCTGTCCCAAAGATGCTTTTCCAAGAGGCAATCTGACATTCTGGAAAGTTCAAGAAAGTCCAGTTGCCTCTTGAAAAAGCATCTTTGAGACACATTTTTTTTCGGGGTTATTATAACTTTGAATAGGGTCATGGTGGCTCAGTCGACCTTGTCGATCAGAAGATTGGCAATTCAACTGTTTGAATCCTTAGTGCTGCATAATGGAGTGAGCTCCCGTTAGTTGTCCCAGCTTCTGCCAACCTAGCAGTTCGAAAGAATGTAAAAATGTAAACAGAAAAATAGGAACCACCTTTGGTGGGAAGATAACAGCATTTCATGTGCCTTCGGCATCTAGTCATGCCAATCACATGACCACGGAGAAATCTTCGGACAGTGCTGGCTCTTCAACTTTGAAACGGAGATGAGCACCACCCCCTAGAGTCGGGAACGACTAGGACATATGTGCAAGGGGAACCTTTACCTTTACCTATAACTTTGAACAGAGTGATGGGGTGGTTAGAGGTGGAGTTCTAATCTCACATTATGAGTTCAATCTTAGGTAGAGGCAGATACTTCTCGCTCTGGGCACAGTGAGAATAGATCTGCTGAACAAAATTCTGCATTGGCGACAGGGAAGGGCATCCGGTCATGTAAACACTCTGCTAGCTCCATTCAGTTGCCAAGACTCCACCCCGCATGGGATTATGGGGTCNTCTATCTATCTATCTATCTATCTATCTATCTATCTATCTATCAGTGAAAACCACTCACACCCCATCACGAAATCTCCAGAACCATAAAGCCTACAAACCTGAAATGTGGCACCTATGTTCTTCTTGGCTTCTAGGTGCTCGCTTAGAAGGGATTTTTCGAAATGACCATCAGGTCATTAGTATTTCTTATGTTATTATTAACACGCTCTGATGCTAAGGAGCTCTACTCCCCCTCCCCACCTGAAAAGATCTCTGTTCAAACTGCCACTTGGGTGTGGTCAGCATGTGACTCATCCAGCCTGCTGGCTGGGAGTTTGAAGTGGAGCCTGAGGGAGAGAAGGGGACAAGATAGGAGAGGTTTCTGTGGGGCAAGCCTGAGGCAGAGAAGGGAATAGGAATGGCGAAGGATTCTATAGGGCAAGCCTGAAAGAGAGAAGCCGATCATAACTAGTCATCAATTTTCAAGCTGTAAATGTTGATTTATCAAGCCCGATCACACAGTTTCAAAGTGGAACATGGGTGTTCAGCTAGTACCTTAATAAATTTAAATAAATAATATTGATCTTCACACACCACAATTTTCTCCATCAACCAGGCCCTCTGAAAGTCATGCAGCTAAAATTTGGCTATCCAATAATGGCAGTGTTTTGAATAAGCTTATCTACAGGGCTATTTATAGACCTTGGCCAACGGATCTCAATGGAAGGTGATACAATAAAGGAAATTGAATGGCGTGTTAAATATGATTGGCAGGCATTCGGCAAGCTAAGCATAATTTTCAAGACCAATCGTCCCCTATGCCCGAAGACAAAAGTTTTCGATCGTTGTGCTTCCTGCTCTAACATATGCCAGTGAAACATGGACACTAACCTCACAATGGATGTGTGTCATCATGGACATCGTTTCAACTTCTACCCTCAAAATGACGCTGTAGGGCACTGCACACCAGAACAACTAGACACAAGGACAGTTTTCCCCCTGCATGCCATCACTCTGCTTAACAACTAATTCCACAACACTGTCAAATAATATACTAAGATTGTATTACTATTCTTCTTCTCTTCCTTCCTAGTATCTATCTCCTCCCTCTTATGACTATAACCATGTTGCTTATATCTTTCAATTTATGTTGTTTTTATTTGTTTCCTAATGTGATTTGATAGCTTATTAGTAACCTTGACTATCACTAAGTGTTGTATTTTATTCTTGATGAATGTATTTTTATTCTCCTTATGTACACTAAGAGCATCTGCACCAAAGACAAATTCCTTGTATGTCCAATCACACTTGGCCAATAAAGAATTCTGTTCTGTTCTACTCTACTCTATTCTATTCCTGATTCTCCTATTCTGTTCTATCATATTCTATTCTATTGTACTCTATTGTATTCTATTCCTGATTCTACTGTACTCTGTTCTGCTCTGCTACTCTGCTCTATTCCTGATTCTACTCTACTCTACTCTGCTCTGCTCTACTCTACTCTATTCCTGTTTCTACTCTATTCTATTCATGATTCTCTATTCTTTTCTATTCCATTCTACTCTACTCTACTCTACTCTACTCATCAACCATGTCTACAGAGATTCTCCGACATCCAGGTCATGGTTGTCCCAAAGGGGCTTTTTCAAGGGGCAAATTGACTTTCTGGTTGTTCAGTTCCTGAAAGGGGGGATCAAAGAGGCCATCTATGTCAAAATTGAGCAGCCCTCTCTCAAAAGAGGGGGAGGGATATGTCATTATCTATCTCCAACCTATAACATAGTCCTTCCAGTAGTTCTAAGAAGGATCCATACCCATTTGTACCACACAGGTGACCCTGAGGACACAGATAAACCTCCAGATGGCCTCAACAGCTCTCTAAAAGAATGCAAATGTCCATCTGTCTGCAAGGACTATATACCCTTCCATTCCCCACCATCCAGCCGGAACTGAAGACGCTTCTTGGATGAGAAGCGAAATGTCTTCAAAGAAAAACCAGAAAGTCCAGTTGCCTCTTGAAAAAAAAGCACCTTTGGGATGCTCCTCATTGCAAGACAAGATAGAAAGACCCACACATGGATTAGAGAACAAAAGAAAGTATACAATGCCATCAAGAGAGTAAAAGGAGTGCAATGGAAATGGGCTGGTCACATAGGAAGAACAGATGGCAGGTGGACCAAAGCAGTCATAAAATGGATCCCACTTGATCAAAAGCACCCATGAAAGACACCTAAAACAAGATGAATGGATGACATCAGCAAGTATAGGTAAAGGTAAAGGTTCCCCTCGCACATATGTGCTAGTTGTTCCCGACTCCAGGTGGCCATACTGATCTCCGTTTCAAAGCCGAAGAGCCAACGCTGTTCGAAGACAATCTCCATGGTCATGTGGCTGGCATGACTCAATACCGAAGGTGCACGGAACACTGTTATTTTCCCACCAAAGGTGGTTCCTATTTTTCTCCTTGCATTTTTACATGCTTTCGAACTGCTAGGTTGGCAGAAGCTGGGACAGGTAACAGGAGCTCACCCCATTACGCGGCGCTAGGGATTCGAACTGCCAAACTGCTGATCTTCTGATTAACAAGCTCAGTGTCTTAGTCACTGAGCCACACCTCCCTACAGCAAGTATGGCAGTCCCAATTGGCAAAAGAAAGCTCAGAACTGTATTAATTGGAAACATGTGGAAGAGGCCTTCATCCTGTGATGTATAGACAATGGCTAGAACGATGATGATGATGATGATGATGATGATGATGATGATGATGATAACGCTATTTAAGCTTTTAAAAGCTTTCTACATAATATTACAATTAATATAACCCCACATCTATTTTATATATATGCATGTGTAGGCCACCTAGATATGAGGGCCACGCGGGAGAGGATTTGCCAATCCTACTAGGCATTTGGCCAAGTTTTAGGCCCGGCTGGATACTATTTGTCAAATTTATTACCTCTCTAATTATAGGAAAGCATTCAAGATTGTCATCGCTTTATCTGAATTTTATTAACTCCATCTTAACTGTTAAAAGTGCATTATACCGGCTTCTGCTTATCATAATAAAAAAATATTTCCTTACATTGTACACAAAGTACTGTATATTCTCTGCATCCAAATATAGGAGTGTGTGCAGTCCTCACTTTACAGCCACAATTGACACTTCTGCTCTTAAGTGAGGCATCTGTTAAGTGAGTTTTGCCCCATTTAATGACATTTCTTGACTCAGTTGTTAAGTGAATCTTGCTTCCCCGCTGACTTTGCTTGTCAGAAGGTTGCAAAAGACATGATCTAGGGATATAGCAACGGTCATAAATATGAAACTGTTGCCAAGCATCTGAATTTTGATCACATGATCACAGGGCTACTGCAGAGGTCATAATTGTGAAAAATTTAGTGCCATCCTAAGTTTGAATGGTCGCTCAACAAATGTTGTAAACTGAGGACTACCTGCATATACAAAGTCCTCTTTGCTGCCTGTATTTTCTTTGGTTTAATATTTATTTTTAGAATAGAATAGAGCTGGAAGGGACCTGGGAGGTCTTCTAGTCTAGCCCGCAGCTCAAGCAGGGGAACCTATACCATCTCAGACAAGGGGCTGTCTAGTCCCTCCTTAAACACCTCCAGTGATGGGGCGCCCATGATTTCTGGAGGCAAGTTCTGTTCCACTGGTTAATTGTCCTCACTGTTAGGAAGTTTCTGCTTAATTCCAGGTTGCTTCTCTCCGTGATTAGTCTCCGCCCATTGCTTCTTGTTCTGCCCTTCTGGTGCTTTGTAGAATAGCTTGACTCCCTCTTCTTTGTGGCAGTCCCTCAAATACTGGAATACTGCTATCATGTCACCCCTAATTCTTTAGATTAAAGGTAAAAGTAAAGATAAATCTTCCCCTTGCACTTACGTTCTAATTGTTCCCGATTCTAGGGGGCGGTGCTCATCTCCGTTACAAAGCCGAAGAGCCAGCGCTGTCCGAAGATGCCCCTGTGTTCATGTTGCCGGCATGACTAAACACTGAAGGAGCACAGAATGCTGTTTCCTTCCCAACAAAGGTGGTTCCTATTTTTCTACTTGCATTTTTTACATGCTTCCGGTTGGCAGAAGCCGGGACAAGTAATGGAGCTCACTCTGCTATGCGGCGCTAGGGATTCGAACCGCCAAACTGCCAAACTTTCTGATAGACAAGTTCAGCGTCTTAGCCACTGAACCACCGCATCCCTCTTTCTTTAAAGTAGCCAAACCCAAATCCTGCAGCTGTTTTAGTCTCCAGGCTTTTGATCTTCTCAGTTGCTCTTCTCTGAACTTTTTCCAAAGTCTCAACATCTTTTTTTGTAGCACGGCGACCAAAATCAGCGTCAAAATGATCTTGATAAAATAATTAATTGGATTGCATTAATCAAATATAAAAGCATTATTTTAAGAGCTGTGATGGGACACTGCTTCCTTCCCGGATCTTTCTTCCCATGCCCTTTTCCTCCCTTTCCCCTGGATTTGGGAAAAGAGACCACCAAGAGATGACAAGCCAGACATCTCCTGGTGGTTGGTCTCCCTTCTCAACCCCCCCCCCCCGACCTTCAAGGTCACCTGCTGAGAGATGAGGTACCGTTAGGCAAAAGAGACGTCGCGGCTTAAGGTGATGCGGAGCGCACCTGTCTATCTGCCGTGGAGGGGCGTGGTCCGGCCGGGAGGGGGCGGGGTCTCAGACCCCACCTCCGCCGCAGCGGTGTNGGATACTGTAAAATCTCCATTCCCTTTCAGGGCAAGGATACTGTAAAATCTCCATTTCCCTCCCCCCCACTCCGGGGGGAGGTTACTTCAAAATTCCCATTCTCTTCCAGGGGAAGGATACTGTAAAATCTCTATTCCCTCCCCACTCCAGTGCAAGGATACTGTAAAATCTCCATTCCCTCCCCATTCCAGGGGAAGGATACTGTAAAATCTCCATTCCCTTCCAGGGCAAGGATACTGTAAAATCCCCAGTCCCTCCCCACTCCAGCGAAAGGTTACTGCAAAACTCATGACTTGAACTCCTGAATCTCCTGTTTTCTAGCCTGCTGCCTTAACCGCTAGACCAAACTGGCTCTTTCATAATGCAAGTAGCAAAGTTGAATACATACAGATTTCTTCAAAGTTTCCCTGAGCATTAGCCCTTTTAGATAGTCCAGGCATGAAACCAAAACCGAGAATATTAACACTACTTTTATAATACTAGCAATAGAATCTTGCAAGTCTGAAAGCGCTTCTTTCTCTCCCTGCTCTTACCTTTACTTTCCAGAAAACTAGGCAAGGTCCCTTCTGAGATCCTTCCTCCAACCTGATTCCTTCTCTGGACTCAGATAGCTTTCATCTGACCATTGCCTAGGCTGAGGGTCTTCCATCTCCCAAGGTTATTCTCGTAGCCCATTACACTTAGAGACTACGAAGTAGGAATTCACAAATGATCACATTTTCCCTCCTAAGGATTGACAGCCAAGAGGATGAGGACAAGACAAAAGATGTCTCAGAGACTACCCTTCTCCCTTCAGAACTTGCCAGAATGTTGATCGCAGAAGGCAATGAACTGTTGGAGAACAACTCAAGTGCTACAAGAGATGGTAAGTTCCATTTGTAGGCAAGACCAGTTTCTTTTCTGCTATTACTACCCAACATGGCAGGATGGGAGGATGGCAGAACTAGAAAGCAAGGAAGATTTCTTCCAAGTCTTGCACAAACATTACCCTGTCCAAGGTGCTGAAGTTCTGATTGTATCTTGCTTTGACCATCACTCTATACTTGACTTTGCTTGGCCATGTAGGGGCTTGATCTGAACTGAAACAAAGGTCCCTCAGCACAACATTGAACCTGAACTATTTGTGGTGCCCTGCCCTAGTGAGATCTAGTTTAATAGCTTAATTTATTTATTTATTAAATTTATATTGCCGGAGAGACACAACATGGCTTCCATAATTTAAAAATTAACAGTTTACTTTATTGTTGTTGCACCTTGTACAATGAAATTAAATACCATCTTCAGTGTACATTATACATAAAAACTAAAAACAATAACATACATCCTTCACATTCTATACAATTAAATTGAACACCCCTGATATTGCATTAATATTGCACTATACAGTAGAATTCAATATGGTTACTGCTCTGGGATAGAAGCTGTTGTTTCAGCCTATTTGTCCTTGATTTTATTATCCTGTACCATCTGCCAGATGATAATAGTTTAAAAAAAGGGTGAGCAGGATGAGATGGATCTTTAAGAATGTTGGTCAACCACTGCTCAGCAGTTACACCTCTACCTTACTCTGAGTACAAGTAATCCTTGACTTACAACCATTCATTTAGTGACCACTCAAAGTTATAACAGTCCTGAAAAATGTGAGTTACAACCAGTCCTCCCACTTATAACCAATATAGCATCCCCGCGGTCCCATGATCACAATTTGGTTGCTTGGCATCCAAATAGATATAGATGCAGCATCCTGGGGGAAGTCACCACTTATGACCTTCCAAGCAGACCTCCGGCAAGCAAAGTCAATGGGAAAAGCAGGTTTCACTTAAAGACTGCATGATTCACTTAACGGCTACAATGATTTGTCAATGAACTCTGGCAAAATGTCATAAAATTTGGGCAACTTAACAACAACTTCGATTAACAAAGATATTTGGGTTTCTTGATAAGGCCACACTTGGAATCCTGCATCCAGTTTTGATCGCCACGATGTAAAAAAGATGTGGAGACTTTAGAAAGAATGCAGAGAAGAGCAACAAAGATGATTAGGGGACTAGAGGCTAAAACATATGANTAATTGGGTTTGTTTTTAGATACTCTATCTAATTTCCTTTTTAACTTTTGTAATATATTTTTTTTAATGTTGTACACTGCCCTGAGTCCTTTGGGAGAAGAGCGGCATATAAATCCAATAAACAAACAAACAGACAGACAGACAACCAATGAGGGAGAGAAGCAACCTGGAATTAAGGAGAAACTTCCTAACAGTGAGGACAATTAACCAGTGGAACAGCTTGCCACCAGAAGTTGTAGGTGCTTCATCACTGGAGGTTTTAAGAAGAGACTGGACTAGGCAATCACTTGTCTGAGAATGGTATAGGTTCCCCTGCTTCAGCAGGGGGCTGGACTAGAAGACCTCCAAGGTCCCTTCCAGCTCATTCTCATTCTATTCTCATTCTAACTGTGGCAAAAAGGTCATAAAATGAGGCAAAATTCATTTAACAAATGTTTCACTTAGTAACAGAAATGTTAGGCTCAATTGTGGTTGTACATCGAGGACTACCTGTACCTTAAATAGCTCAAGAAAATGACAGGCATGGAAGATCAGGTCCATATCTGAAGATCCATTAAATCAATTTGTTGCTATCCATGCCTATGCACAGGAATGTTCACAGAATAACAGAGTTGGAAGGGAACCTTAGAGGTCTTCTAGTCCAACCCCAGGCTTAAGCAGGAGACCCTGTATCATTCCAGACAAATGGCTGTGCAGTCTCTTCCTAAAAACCTCCAGTGATTGAGCATCTTCTCAACTAACAGTCAGTACCTGCTTGGAGTTAAATACAAATAGAAATAAAGAATAAAATACCAATAGAAATAAAGATGATGGAAAAACAGAGAAGGAAAGAAAGGGAGTAGAGGAGATAAAGTGAGTGAAGGCGGGGGGGGGGGCAAGAGAGAAAGAAACCAAAAGGATTGACTTCCTATTGTTTTGGTGCAGTAAGATACATAATAAAGTTATAGTATCAACTTTTTAGTTATGCTAAATAATAACCACCAGCCCTTTCTATAACAATAACCCACTTATTTGTCAAGATGCAAAGTCAAAATTTCACATTTTTTTCTTTCATGCAGAAAGTCCAGAAGATGTTTCCAAATAACCACAAAACTATTTTACATTTTTTTCTCCCTAAATTAATGCAGTCGGTTTTGTAGGAATCCAGAGCGATGAACGAAAGTAAAAACAGTGTATAATAAAAACAGTAGAACTCACCTAAGGATGGCATCTGGCTTTATAACAATTCTGGACTCGAATAAAAACACTTCTCTGTGTGAGCATCAGCATCTTTTAACCACCCCATCATCCCTTGAGAGGTGGAGTCAGGGCACCTGAATGGAGCTAGCAGTGTTTAATGGCCAGATGCCCTTCCTGTCGCTAATGTGGAGTTTTGTTCACAGATACATATATTCTCAGTATGCCCAGAGAGAGAGAAATATCTGCCTCTACNTATGTTGTCTATGTAATAAAAAATAAAATTATAATAAAAAAACCCTAACCCTAACCCTAATCCTTACCTTAACCCTAACCCTAACCCTAACCCTAACCCTAACACTAACACTAACACTAACCATAACCCTTACCTTAACCCTAATCACGCTTTTGTTGGTGCACATTTATCGGCGTGCTTCGGTGGGTGCGATTTCATCTTTGCTGTTTTCGCGCTGCGCTTTTTCCGCCGCACTTTTGTCAAACGCGCATTTGACGGGTCACGGACTAGTGGTGGTCTTCAGCCAGTTCAGACTGGTTTGGGAGAACTGGTAGCAGAGATGGCTCTATGTGGTCCTATTTAGCCACGTTTTTGAGGCCGGGCGCATAAGTGGAAGGTGCGTGGAGGAACAAAGCCCATGCGTGGAAAGTCAGGCCCATGCACGAAAGGTGTGCACGTGTGGGGCGAACTAGTGGTAAAAATAAGTGAAACCCACTGCTGATACTTGTGTATGATTTTCACTTTCCTTCAACAGAAGAACCATCCTTTTTGTATCAGGCCAAAAGTCTTGACTTAATCCAGCGTTCTGCTTTCCTCAGGGATATCCCGATATCTCTAACATGTAGGACTTGCACTTCCGCCTCATATTCTGAGTTGGATGATGCTTCTCATCTGACAACTGGCCTTGAATCATCCTGATTAGCAGCCACTGATAGCTTTGTACCTCATGGATGGGTTTAATTCTTTAAAGCCAACCAAGTTGGCAGGCAGGCCGGCATTCTCTGGAAGCAAATTCTGTAGTTTAATTAAATCTGTCACAAATGGGTTTTGGCATAATAGCAAAAGAGGAAAATTCCTTCCTTCTTTCCTCCCTCCCTCCTTTTCATAGGTATGGTGGGATGTAATCCAGAGTTGCTGGTGGGAGGGGCTCCTTTCCAGAGGGCAAAGAGACACCACAGCTGGAATGTCTGGTGACCTTCCCTAGCAATTCACAGGGGTATGTCTATAGTTATTGCAGATAATTTCTTCAATCTGGCAAGATTCTGTCTTTAGGCAGATAATACTGGGGGAACTACTCTGAAGTAACTCCACATGTTATTCTTGGTTGTTTGAGCCTGATATGAACAAACCTTAGGGCCGAAATGCTTTTTTCTTTCTACTTACTTTCTTTTTTTCTTTTTAAAAAGAACCTTCAGATGTTCTATATATGAAGCATATAAGGGTACTGCACACCAAAAGCTGCCTCATCCTCCTTTTCTTCTTCTCCTTTTCCTCCTCCTTCTCCCCTCTTCCTTCTTCTTCCTTCCTTCCTTCTTTCTTTCTTCCTTCCTCCTTGTCCTTCTTCTTCCTTTTTCTTCTTTCTTCCTTTTTTCTTTCTTTCTTTCTTTCTTTCTTTCTTTCTTTCTTTCNGCTGAAAGCCCTATGAAGCGGTATATAAGTCTACTGCTATTGCTATATTGCTATTCTGAGCGAGGCGTCCCGAGAGCATGAGGCGAACTCCTGGTCCTGACAAAAACCCTTTTTATTAATTTACTGTGAATTCTGCTCGTTCACCTCCAGCAAAGCCTTCCAAGAGAGGATTTACAGTCACAGATCATATCTGGCTTGGAGAGCTGACAGGCTGATATCTGCAAAACTTGGCAAGGAGTGTTGGAGAGTCACGAACCAATGAAGAGAACGAATTGTCTCCTGCAAACTCCACTCCCCTTTGGCTCCTCTTTTATTTCCTCTGGGAAGGGCCATTCATTGTCCTTTACTCCTGAGTTGGCCCCTGTTCTTTAGCTGTTCCCTTCATCTGGCAGCTCTGTGCAGGCGCACACTTGGAACAGGCTCCAGCTGTTCTTCTGCCTCGTTGATGTCTGACTCCGAAGGCAACTGACAACTGTCAGACGGCTCTGGCCTCCTCTCTGCCTCCGACACAGAGCCCTCATCAGAGCCTTCCCCAGACTCCAGGACTGGCCCATGTTCCTCCCCAACCTCGCCACTGTCTGAATCTGCTGTCAGCTCCACTGGCCACTGGCAGGCCACAACACAATTCCTCTAACAGGAAATCTTCATTTTTAAGACTTAAGACCTTCCCCAAAACTTTGATCAAGAGCCTACAGATGATCAGCTCTCAAGGACTTCTCATTGTGAAAAAGGAACAGTTTAGCTTGAGGCTACTACAGTCCATCCGACTCCTCTCCACAATTCCTGCTCCAGATTCATTTAGCCTGGAGAAACTTTTGATGGGCTACCTTGATAACGTTTCTTTACCATGTCTTCTTTTTTTTGAGTTCCAGCCAAAAAACCTCCAGCTCAGTGGAAAAGATGCTCTGTTGTGTTGACTCTTCCTCACAGAGTGTGCTCTTGAAGGGAGCAGACAAACTGGCTACAGATAAGTCCTTGAGTTATGACCGCTTGCTCAGTAATCATTAGAAGTTCTGATGGATGTCCCTGGTGGTCCTTCTGATATCATTCTGAAGGTCCCACAGCAGCTACCCTCCATTTTCACCTGACCCCATTTCTGGTGCTCAACAAGCGGCCTACATTCATGGCTGTTTGCAATGTACCACAGTCACACATCTGCTTTTTGTGATTGTGTACCAGAGAGTAAGTCTAACCACCCTTGGCCAAATAAATAAAGAATAAGTATTTTATGACGGTATTGCTGAAAAATGACTTCTGGTCTTTGGCAAAAACCGGCATATAGCAAATCCCTGGTTTGTTTAAAGATTGGGGTGTTTGCTTTACGACTGTAGCATTTGCTTAACAATAGACACAAAACATGCCATACAATTGGCTCGGTCATACAGGTGACCCAATTTATGATGGTCATGACTTATAAGTATAATGGGCAGGTTTCTTTTTAGTCATAAATCAAGGACTACCTGTTTGATGGCCAAGAAGGGGGGTAAGGATGCTGGGTGTAGGGAATGCTGTGAGCTTCATAGGGGTCCAGCAGTTGGCATCTGATGAGTAGCTGGAGCTACGTAGCATGAGGGATGTTGCCCTTGAGTTCATGTTGAATCTCCCATTGTGCACTTCTCCATCATGGAAGTGACTGCTGGGTTTATTTCAAAGCCAACATACTTGACTCAGTGGGTTCACCGACAAATGCGCGCTCGACAAAAGCGCGCTGGCAAAACCACCACAACAAAACAGCGAAGACAAAATCGCGCCCACAGAAGCATGCCGATAAATGCGTGCTGACGAAAGCGCACCATCAACAAACAACATAATACAACGTAATAACCCTAACCCTTACCCTAACCCTTACCTTAACCCTAACCCTAACCCTAACCCTTATCTTAACCCTAACCCTAACCCTNTAGGGTTTCCTGCCTAGACAGGGGGTTGGACTAGAAGACCTCCAAGGTCTCTTCCAGCTTCCATTCTATTCTATTCTATTTTCTAACTCCTATTCTATTCTATTCTCTATTCTACTCTACCCTACCCTATTTGTATTCCTATTTCTATTCTATTCTATTCTATTTAGTGCTTGTAAGTCAAGGACCACTTGGAGCTGGGAAAGGGGGAGTTCTCATTTATTAAATGGCATTTACCAGCCCGTGATGGAGTAATATCTGATCCTTCCTCTCATGCATCCATTACAGAGGCAGAAGTGAGTAACAGCAGGAAAACAAGCAGATGAACGGAGGAAGCGAATGGAGACCCAGATTTGTTGGATAAAAGGAGTTAAAGAGTCAGTGTGTGAGCGAGGATGTAATTGAATTTTTCAGCTGAGATTAAAATTTGATATTAAAAAATATTCAAGAGGGGTGAGTGGGAGCTTGTCTGGTATACCAGCTGCTGATGTTTCTATTCTGAACAAAGGTTAGGAAACCTTGAGGGCCATCTCAGATTAGATGCTGATTCGGTTGACAGTGACCTGCTGATGCTTTGTGATCTTCTGTTTTCATTGACAGCTCTACTGCGAGATTGGGACAACTGCCAAGCAGACGAGAGATCCCCTGACTACGAATAATGAGGGACGTGGGACCTTTTCCTCCAAGAGTTCGACTTTGGGCCATTTCTGGTCCATGGCCTTCCTTCAAAATAGACCTTCTTTCAGTTCTCGCCACCGCTTGTTCATGATCTGAAAGAACAAGAACAATGGCAGCTATGATCTCTGGAAAGTCATTTCTGGAAGGCAGTTAAGAATCCTAGAATCCTAGACTTGGAGGGCATCATGAGAGCTTCTAGTCCAACCCCCCCACCAAGGGTCAGGAATCCGCACACCCTCCTAGGCATAGAACTGTCTATCCTTGGTTGAAACCTTCCACTGATGGACCTCCAGAACTTCAGGAGGCAAACTGTTCTACATATATTCCCTTTGGATAGGTCTATGCAAAGCTTTATTTATGCTTATTTATCTAAGCCCTTGCTGGAGAAAATAACCAGAGGATTGTCACGTAAATCATCATTGTGACTTAACTGGGATTTAAGTTGGGGGTGGAAAGGTAACATTTTCACTTAGTTTTTGCACTGTCTGTATGCATGCATTACTGCTGTTTTCTGTACAATTCTGGGCTCTTTTTTAGATGAAATATATTATTACTCTATGGTACCCCTCCTCCCCCAAATAAGGAATTCGGCAGCATCTTTCCCAACTCACAGATTTCATTAGAGAGCTCATGAAAGTTTATACCTTGTAATTAAATTTTATTCACCCGAAAAGGAGTTATCAGATGCCTCTTGATTTATGGGTGGAGGAAAGTATAAATAGAGAACAGATAGAGAAATAAAATTGATCATCAGCATGGTCAATATTTCTATGCACCCGATCCTGATAGTCCCCAGATAGTCAGGGGAGATGATTTGCAATCAGATCAATTTTTACCCCTGTTTCACTCTAAGGATTCCTTGAATTATTCAAGATTCTTTTTTGAAGAAAAGTGACTGGAAATAATCCATTGGTAGTTTATTACAGCTCAATGTCTCTTTCTCCTTTCTGGTGTCACATGGAGCCATCTCAAGGTGGCGCAGTGGTTAAATGCAGCACTGCAGGCTACTGCTAGATCAGCTAGATCAGCAGTTCAGCGGTTCAAATCCCACCGGCTCAGGGTTGACTCAGCCTTCCATCCTTCCGAGGTGGGTAAAATGAGGACCCAGATTGT